ATAGTACTAATGGATTGTTAGATATTTGTTGTAATGTTAACATGTTAATTTATGCCCTGTAAATGAATATGAGACACTATTACTGGGAAAACTGTATAGTCTGCATAATAAATGCTGTGTAAGAAACAACCCTTCTTCCAAATAACTTTTTTGCTAGTTCACACTTCCGAGCAGTTGGCTCTATAGGTGTGAAGAGTCTGAGGACTGTATAACTTAGTGATAAAGCAGATTACAAAATAAGCTTAATTACTGATAAGAGTTTTCCTTGTAAGCTTTGTCAACTTCATCTATCCTCTTGTTGACTGTTTTGGCAAGAATCATTGAAGATAAGCTTTGGGGAGTCAGTCTAGTGTACTTTCTTTTCACAAAAAAACATGCTGCTTTATGTGATCTGAATCTAAACAAACAGAACTTGACCAGTCTTTTGAGTTCTATCAGGACCAGTTAACTGTGGTATGTGCAGAAATAGCTTGTAAAATTCAGACATTTTTTTTTCAGGTACTTAATATTTCTATCGTATATAGAAATGTTCTTCCTGCCTATAAATAAAGTTTATGGTAATTTGAAGTCCATTAGTAGCTAAGAGAACTAATATATTTAGACTTAGTATGTTCACCAGTATTTTAATATACGTTAAATTTACCAAATATGTATTATGTGGCAGGCATTTTGCTAGGGACTGAGGTATACAATGGATAAGACATTCATTCAACAAATATTCATTAAGTGCCTTCTATGGAAAATCTTTTAGGGCCTCCCTAAGGAGATAGTTCTTATGTTAAGGTTTAAAGATGAATAGGACTTACCAAGGTGAATAATAGGATAGGGAAAAAATAATCTCCCATATACCATGATCAAAATACTCCAGGTTGAAAAAGAACATGGAGTGTTTGAAAAACTGAAAGAACCCCCAGAATGACTGAAGTACGGGGAGGGAGAGAGGGAATAGTGCTTTAAAATGAGTTTGAAGAGAGAGTCAGAAGCCAATTCTTGGAGATTCTACTTTCTAAGTTTGTTTATTATTTTAGATCTGATTATAAAGGCAGTGGGAGGCCTTTCATTGGCTTAGGGCGTAAAATGACATTTCAGAATATGTTTCTTACAGCATTATCCTGATAGCTTTGTGGAGAATGGATTAGAATGGGCCAAGAGAGGATAAGATGCAGAAAAATCAACTAGGATGCTATTGAAGGTATCTGACAGACGATGAATTAGACTAGACTGGTAATGGAAAAGCGGGTAGGTTCAGCAGATATGTAGGAATTATAAATGACTAAACTTGGTGATTTTTGAGAGTAAAATTAGGGAAGGACAATATGGACTCTGAGATGATTCCCAGGCTTCTGACTTAAATATCTCGGAGAATGTTGGTGTCATCCCCTGATACAGGAAGAAGGGCAGAAGACAAAGTCTGTTTTAACTTTGGAAGCTATGCCTTAAAGTGGATAGATTTACGGGCATAGATAGAGAAGACAGGACAGGAGTAATTTATCACTACTAGAATGTATATAGAGTTCACCCTTGAACAACACAGGTTTGGACTGCACTAGTCCACAGATCCTCACAGATGTGGATCCTGGCATATATGGAGTGCTGGCTATAAATTATACAGATATTTGATTGCTCAGGAGAAGAGGACTTAGGGTAGAGGTGTCAGTGCTCCTAACCCCTGTGTTGTTGAAGAATTAACTCAGTGTGTTTTTTAAAATTGTCTGACTATATCAGTCAGCATCAAAACAGTATTAGTCTGTCCTGAGATCAGTGAAGACGCTTTGGTTTATATTTTCACCTACATCATGAGATTGTAGGTGAAAATCTGGTAGGTAGAGGATTTGTTTTTTTATTTTTGTTTTTTTAAGAAGCTAGTGGGACTTAATGAAAGGAAGTTTAAAATGAGCCCATCCACACTTAATAGATGATGACTGGTTTCAATTAATGAAGATGACGGTTTTTCTCATAAGCTAGGATTCAAGGTGAGTGTATATAAGATTTTAATAGTAACCAGTCCATTGGTCCTTGCCGATTCTTATTTAAACTGGTTTGTTTTTGTTGACACGATTAACCCTGCTTAATATCCAACTACTAGAATTTTATTCACATTTTGATCAGAAGGTTAAAACTCTGGTTTCTGAGTTGACTGGGCGCTACTAATAGTTTTGCAGCTGTTAAAAATAAGATATCTGAAGTTTATGATTGGGGTGAAGCATAGTAATATGTAGAATAAAACCTACATATATGTCTGTGAATGATGGTGTAGCCGACTGTAGACATAATTTGGGAAAAGGGATAAAGAAATCAAGAAAGAACCCTGTTCTGTTAAAGAAGGCCCTTACATAGTACCTTTCATAAGCCGAAACTCTTGAGATGGCAGAATTAAATTTTTATTTGCAACTTTTCCATTTTGCTTTAACTGGCTACATGAAACAAAGTATCAAGCACAAATTTAAAGCTTCCAGTGGGAACATGGAGTTTTAATCTGTGATAATAGCGAGCAGGTGGGGTTTGGATACTAGGGAATTGGAATGTGGGAACTGGAAAAGTAACAAACTGTAAGCTTATTACATTTTGGCAACCAGCTGTGGTTAGGCTGTTCATTGCTTCATGCTATGGTGGGTAGATTGTAGATGTTAGTCTCATAAACCTGGGCCTCAAAGCCTACCTAGCTCCAGCACTTTTCAGGAAAGGACAGGTTACCCAACCCTGCCCTGTTGAAACATTGGGGATGAGATCTACTGCCCAGTTTATTCAAGGATTAAATGAGAAAATGAATGTGAGCTGTCTGGGAGAGTGCCTTTCTCATAGAAGGCAGTTAATTCTTAGTTCTTCTTTTACCTCTAACTTGAATGTTTTTTTAACCCAGCTTTTAGTGTCTAGTGACTTAAATTGACAAATGAGTGGGCTAGAACAAATAGTTGATTTCTCATCTCTCCTTAATGATTATGAAAATTTAAACTCACAGGTACTGAGTGCTTCATGTTTTAGAAATGCTAAATGCAACCCAGGTGATGCTAGGAGTGCTTTTAAAGGCACACAGAATAGTTTGTAGAAGATTAAAAATAATTTTAAATGTAATCCAGGGAAGCCTTTCTACAGAAAAACATTTGACCAGTTAACATCTGTTGAGCACTGTTTTAGTCCTGGACATGTATGATGTGGGAAGACTGACACATGAACAGATAATTCTTATGCACCACTATAGAAAGTTTTATGCTATTGGAAATCATAGTTGTGCCAAGGTAATTTGACAGTATGTACCAAGTAGTTTTAAAATGTACATCCTCTCTTACCCAATTGATCTATTAATACTTCTAGCAATATAACCTGAGGGCTTGCAATACAATCTAGCTAATTGTGTGAAAAATTGCTAACTACAAATGTGTAAGTTTGTACATTAAATTAATTGCTAATATAAATGGACATACAGGTCTCCATCATTGATCACACAGATTTGTATGTGACAAAGAAAAAATATTTGTGATACATTGCTAAGAGCAAAAAGTCAGTTACTAAAAAGACTTAAAATTTTTCTTTTCAAAGAAAGCTTAGTGGAATCTTTTCTAGATCACTTTTGTGTATTCTTTGCCTTGAAAAAAAAATCATTCAGATATAGTTTTTGTCATAATCTGGAAATGGGATGGGATTTTAAGTGAGTTAATGTCTTGCCAAATCAGAATAGCATATCTGAGAGATAAGCAGTTGGGGCATATATATTTGCTTTATGACCTTAGTGTATTGTCAAGGTGCAGTCAGGTTTTAGTCAATTTTTACAAATATTTCATATGTTTTTCAAGGTAGTTCATTATTTTAGTTGTTGGGTACATGGTTTCTGTGTGCTTAATAATCTTCTCTAACTTCACTAATTACTTTGTCTGATACAAAATATATTTAAAGGTATGTTGGAGTTTCCCATTATGATAGTAAAGTTTTCCCATAAATACAATAGGTTTTGCCTTACATATTTTGATGCTTTGCTATTAGGTGCATGCAGGTTTAGAATAGTTTTCTTGGTCCTCCCCAACGCGCGCCCCCCCCCCAGTTATATAATGACCATTTTATCTTTAATATTACTTTTTTGCTTTTAAAAATATATTTTTCATGACAGTCCTATAACATGTATTGGTTTTCTAGTCATATGTATTTTCTGGTATAATTTTTGTATACTTACAGCTTTTTTTCCCCCCTCATTTATGTTTTTAGTATGTCTCTTGTAAACTGAACAGAAAAGGACTGTTCAGTTTGAATTTTAGGTCTTATAACTGCCGTGTAGTCTACTTACATTTATTGTGATTACTGTTATATCTGTACTTATTTCTACCATTTTATTTATTTACCTTGTTTTAGTCTCTGCTGTTTTTTCCTTCTTACCTGTCTTCTACTGGTTTGTACAACTTTATTCCTTTTTTCCCCCTCTACTCATTACCCTTAAATTTTTAACATGTGCTTGAATTTACAAAGTCTTATGTTAAAATCACTGTCTTCATTCTTCTGAACAATACAGGGACCTTGGAAAGTTTAAAATTCAGTACCCTCCACCAATCTTAGAATTTTTGACCAGTCTTTTACTTCTATTTTTATTTATTTTTATTGTATTTTATTATTTTTTTAAAGATTTATTTATACATTTATACAAGCACTGGGCACAGTCAGAAGCGCGAAAGGGTGACAGAACTCACCAGAGCCAGAGCAGGGAACAGAACAGGCAGGCTGACGAAATACATTGCTAAGGGGAGCAGCGGGCACGACAGGAGAGGCCTGTGCGCCATGTGGAACACTTGCCGGGGGCTGGGGATCAAACCAGCGCTGCAGAGCCTGCGGGCAGCCCCACAGCCCAGCGCTCAACTGCTGCACCACCAGGGGAGGTCCTGCTTCTATTTTTAAATCATCCAAATTAGTCTTTATTGTTGCTGCTGTTGCATTTACTTTTTATACTTTCATTGTTTTCTCATACCCAAGAAGATTGTGAACGCCTTAATTAAACAGTTTCCTCATTTTCTCTTCAGATTTTCAGAAGAAACAACCAGACGATGATTCCACTCCAAGTACAAGTAACAGCCAATCAGATTTGTTTTCTGAAGAGACCACCAGTGACAACAACAATACCTCTATAACCACGCCAACTCTTAGTCCCAGCCAGCAGCCGCTTCCGACAGAACTGAATGTAACTTCACCAAGTAAAGACGAGTGTAAGTGCCCAGATCTTTGGGAAATGGTAAAGAAAGCAACTTAAGAATAATATATGAACTTGGTAATGCCTCAACCCAGAAAAAAGATTGCAGCACTTTTAATTCAAGATTAAGTACTCACATACAGGCCTAAGTTAGCAAGTCAGAGAATAAGTTTCCATCTTTATATAGAGCTTAAGGTCTTCTTAGAATATAGCCTTTTATGGTAACTGTCAAAATACAGGAGGTTTTGAACTAGTCTGGGGCAGTGGTTCTCAGCCTTGACTACAAATTAAAATCCACTGAGTATTTTAAAACAATTTAATCTTTAGCACTATTCCATGAGTCTAATTTAATTGGTCTGGAGGAAAGCCCAGGGATCTGGTTTTTGTTTTTGTTTTTTTTTTAAACTACAGTGGATTCTAATGTGCTGCAAGTGTTGTTGCAAAGCTCTGGTCTAGGAACTTAGTCATGATTTAAGCACCTTGAATTGAAACCTTACTTCTATCAACTAACTGGTGCTTAATGTTTTTAGGCATTTAACTGAGATCATAACAGTGTATTACATCATAGAACATACAGTATTTGAAGGGAGGAGGAAATAGTTTCTGTTACTCTCCTGTAAGTCATCTTTGCTAAAATAATGTTATCATATATGTAATATAGAAGTCTGTTGTTCATTTAATCTTTGTAATGTTTGAAGCATTTCCTTTAGGGCTCAACTACAACTGATGGTATTTATTGAATATTATAGGGCTATTATGAGAGCAGGTTTTGCCTTTTAAATGCTTAACAGGTTGAAATTTAGTGCATCAAGTTTAATGATAATCTAGAAATCCTTGTAATGTGGTAGGATAGAATGTTCTGTCTGTTAACTTTTGGAAAGGTGAGGGAGAACAGATATTTATTTAAACCTATCACTGTGCTAGGTAAACTTGAGAATATGAAAGTGTAAGGTAAGCTATAGTCCTTGTCCTCAAAGGATTTACTATTTTGCAGGGAAAGATAAATATATTTGTTTTACCAGTGGTTCTCAATCAGGAGTGATTTTATACTCCTTGTGCTCCCTGTACCAGGATGCTACTCAACATCCTGTGGTACATAAGACAGCTTTCCACAGCAAGGATTATTCAGCCCAGTGTAACAGTAACTCCAAGGTCTGAGAAACCCTCATACATACATGTATGTACTCATTTTAGTGGTCCTTCTATGTATTAAAGAGAGGTCCTGCCTGTTGAAGAAGGGTGTTGGTTTATTGGAGAAAGTGGTGATGAAGACAAATGCAAAGCATTTGTGAGACACTGTAGACGGAGTAGGATGAGCTATGGAGGAATCTGCATGAAGTTCTATAATGATGAGTGACTCCTTTAGGACCATTTATGGAGGACAAAACTGGAAAGGTAGTTATCGCCAGGTCATAGAGACTTGAATGCTCAGCTAAGATATTTGGATGTTAGAGAATAATTATGTTTGTGAGCAGAGGAAGTAATATTATTATTACAGTTCTTTTGGAGAAGTAACCTTGCAGTAATGAAAATGGGAAGGATTTGACTAGAGTCACATTGCAGAGAATCTTTTTAAGTATTATAACTTATAATAGATACCTAGGGAAAGTTGTAAAACTCATTTAAAAGGAGGAAAAAATGATGAAAATGGTAATGATAATATTAAAGCAACACATTTATGTATGGCGTCATGTACTTATTAAGGAGCTGATGAAATTATGGCACCTTGTCTCAGAAAACTACCTACTGTCTACTTATACCCAAATTTGAATAAAATTTTTCTAAAACTCACTATGGCTTCTAGGTTAAGAACTCCTGAAAGGGAAAGGTTGGAACTGGTTAGACACCCATGTGATTGGAACCATACATTCCAAGATGCCGCCACAACAAAGGAATTCAAGCAGCCAGAATGCACATGTACTGAGATAACAAGAGCTATCATTTATTGAGCAGTTTATGTGCAAGATATTGTTCTATGTGTTTCCTCTTTTTTTCATCATGGCAAACCAAAACAGTTGATGCTGCTATCATTGTCCCCATTCTATAGATAAGGAAACAAGCCCAAAGAGATAAAGTAATTTGGCTGTGGTCACAAACAAATAGATACCAGAACCAGGATTTAAATTTAGGCATTTAGCTTTAGAATTCATTAATTCACAAAGTGGAATAGAACTGCCATAGAGAATAGAAACATTCTTATTGGTAAGAGCTGCACTTTTTGTCTCTGTAATTAAGGCATGTTGAAACTCATATCATAATCAAAAATTATTGATTAATCATGAAACATTCCTATAACAGGGATTGGAAATAAAAATAAATCCGTATTATTGAAACATTTTCTCTGAAGGTATACCTCCACAGGAAGCTGACCCATAACAGGGATTTATATAGCAGATGATGAAGCTTGGACTCAGAACAGGTGGAGTTACAAGAAATGAATTCTTAATTGAGTCAGGCTGATTGTTTGGTGCACTCTAAGGACATAGAGGGATTCCTTATGTGTTCAGTATAAGATTCCACCTTCACTCATCTGCCTGGGCTTAGATGCTCTGAGCTCTGGAGCGTTCAGAACACAACACTTTCCTTAAATTGCCAGCCGAGGCCACTGTAGACTATCATGATATTTTTTTTTTTTGATCTGTAAATACCTTCAATCCCATTTAGAATATCTAATTCAATTACCTTTGAATCCATTCTCTATCTTTCTGATGATATCACTGCTGAAAATCACTTCATCTCGGAATCTCTTCCTAATGCTTTTGGAGATCATTAGTGTAATCCTTTGATTTTCACAGTTCTGGAGAAATAAGGAGATTTGCTAATCCGAGATAATGATGATAATTTAAATGTTCAAGTGGGTAATTTGAGTTGGAATTCAGGGGAGAAAAGTCAAGATTGGCTTCATCCATGTGGAGATGTTGGGGAAAGCCATGGGGATTACATGTGATTGCCAAGGGCTAGAGCAGAGAACGCAGTGAGAACCTTGAGTAAACCAAGGAAAAGGAGGCAACATGAAGAGGTCAAAGAGGAAGAGAACACTAGTGGGCAAGGTCTCAAAGCCAAGGAACGGATTTCAACTTCTGTATGGACTTTAATAATACCAACAAAAATGTTGTGAGATGTTTGCTGTGTTCTGAGCACTCTTGTAAGCTCTTCACACATACCAACAATCACTTTTTATGATACCCTGTGAAGTAGTTTCTTTTATTATACCCTTTTATAGATGAAGAAGTTGAAGCATAGACAGGTTCAGTAACTTCTGCCCAAAGTCACCCATGTGGGCAGTGCAGCTCACATTCTAGCCCACTAACTGAGCTCCAGAGTCTGTGCTTTTAATCACTGTAGCATACTGCCTCAGCATTATGAAGAATCCTGCAGAAGCTATAAACTGACAACAGGCATTTGAATACGGGGCCATTGAGATTGATTACCTAAATAAACTAATAAATTATTCCATTGGTTTGTATATTCATTTAGCAGTCTTTGCTGAGTGCCTACTGTGTGTTAAACACTAGGTTAAGTGCTCGATACAGAAATAAGATTAACTCTCTACCCACTTCTCTTTTCAAATATATATGCCTCTGGGATTCTGAATGTTCTCCCAGACAGGTACATAAAAATTTTAGGATGAAGGGGAAACAGCAGCAGCAGGAGTGGTTAATACTCATGCCATTTACAAAAGCTTTCTCAAGTAGGTTTTGCTATCTCACCTACTGAAACTATGGTAGGTTAAAATGTGTACCTGGCTTGTTGGTGGGGGATACAAGGTTGAGAAAAGTAAGGAAGGTTTGTTAAGGCTGCAAAGTAGATGAATTAATATGACATCATGAGAGAAAGTGATTGCCAGGTAGCAGTGAGGACTGGGATAATTAGACAACCTGATTCATTGATACCTTGCAAATTTCTTCAGCTTTGAACTACCTAGAAGAAAGATAGACAAAAGCAGCAATAGGGGGTCACTTACATTGTTCTTCTGGTATTCTCAAGCTACCAGAATTTCATCTCTTGGTTCTTTTTAGCTTTCCTTGGAGAGGTGTATAGTAGTTGTTGGGAAATGAGTTTAGGATTCAAATCCAATTTTAAGTAATTTGTAAATTATACAGTAGTTAAGGATCTGTTGTTGTTGTGTGGAACTGGAAGTGCTGTGTTTTCCTGGGAGCGTATGAAAAGGTTTTACTTTTCTGCCTAGTAATCAAGAAGATGAGTATGGGTTATGTCTGCTTTCTACTTCTCACTGTTAAGTGGGTATGCAAACAAGTGAATGTAAGCATCCAGATATGCTGTTTTTGCAGATAAAGTAAGAATCATTTGATAACAAGAGAGTGTAAAGTAGAGAAATGGGACAGATTTTTATGCAAAAGAATTTCTTAAAATACCTGACTGAAGGCTGAATAAAGTAGATATCCAAAAACTCCAGGTGATCTTTCTTTGTCTGAAAACACACACCTCTTTCTCTCCCATCTTGTATGTCTTTGGAGGAAACCATGAAACTTTAGCCTTTATAAACATTTTCAAAGCATAGAGTAAACAAAATTCAAACAGTGATTAAAGGACTTGTCATACAGCATTTAAATGCTATTACAGTGCTAACAGCTAATACTTGCAGGCACTGTTCCAATTTTTTTTATCTGTAGTAACCTCTTTCATGTTCTTAACTACCCTGTAAAAGGTACTGTTACCATATCTGTTGACAGATGTAGAAATGGAGCACAGGATGATTCTCTGTGTTGTCCAAGATCCCAGAGCAACCTAGTTTTCTAGAACACTCTATAGTTGCCTGTCTCTATGTGATTTATATTATAACGGATCTTTCATGCAAATGTAAACTACAGAGGAAGGAGTATTGCACAAATACTTAACAAAGTAGCATTTCTTTCTGCTTTCACTTAACTGCTATTTATTGTCTCCCATTTTCCAGGTTTTTCATAGAGGAAATAATGTATAATTTGTAGTTTTGTTTCATGACCTAATTTTTGAAGAAAGGATAATGTCAGATTCTAATTAGAACCCTGGATC